AAACAATCAAACACAGCAAGCAGCAAATATTTGGCCACACACTTCTGAAACCCCAAACCATGTTCAGGTTTTGGCAGACTAATTTCAGCTTTTCAATTAAAAAAAACCACAACAAATTTTGAAGGAAAGCAGACATTGTCCGTGATTTTTTCTGCTTTTTCAAAACCCCTAGTTTTCGATCCAAAAAAAGTTTTGATGGAAAATATTTGTCCAACTCTTTTAATGAGCTTTAGTGCCTTTTAGCACTAGCTGATACTGAGAACCAGTGATAACTTCTTTACAAGGTTTCTCAAAACTGGTTTTGTGCTGAGATGCGGAAGGTTTATTTTTCCCAGGGCCGCCCGTGGGGCGGGGAGCAAGTGGGGCAATTTGCCCTGGGCCTCGCAGGGGCCCCCACAAGAATATAGTATTGCAATTTTTTTTTCTTGAAGAGGCCCCTGAAATTGCTTTGCCCCAGGCCCCCTGAATCCTCTGGGCGGCCCTGTCATGTAATATATCATAAATAGTTAAATATTTGTGGCGTGGGGAGAGGAAAAAAGAAAAGGAAATCCTGAAAACAAATAAAAGTCAGGGCTGGCTCAAAATGCGCGAAACAAAACATTCAAAATTTCAATTTTTTTCACGCAATCGTTTCAATGTTCTATTGTCATGGGCTGCTTAATTTGACTAGCTACGCTTCAGGGTGATAGGTTGGCCACCTAAGACATATGGCCCCATTCCTGCTCTCTGGTTGGATGAAAGAAAGTTTTTAAGCCACCCAATGACACACTGCAACTAGGAATTTTGATGATAAAAACCCAAAGAATGGATTAGGTATAATAATGATCAGCATTTGTAGAGGGTCTATAAAATTCAGAAATTTGTTTACCCTCGCTCCAGAATCCCCTCAGCTGAAGTAAAACCCTGTACACATGGGGGAATTATGATAACTCAGGAGGAAAGGTTTTCACCAAATATTTTTCTTGGGGTAATGGGGCATTCAGATTGGACAGACACAAACAGAGACATGGGGACAGAAGCAAGTAAGACGCAAAGTAAAAAGCCAGGCAGAAACAACCTGGAAGCGTAGGAATGTGGCCCTGAGAGACAGCTAAGAGAAGAAGATTTTGGGGCACAGAGAATGCTGGAGATGCAGGCTTAGGACACTGAACAGAGTTGCTGTCTGCTGCTGTTTGATTCCAACTGTGTTCAGGGAAAGAGGACTTTGGATATTCCTTGTAAATAAAATAGATCACAGCAAAGGAAATACCAGACTCCATTGTCAATTTCTAATTCCAACCAGAACACACGTAGGGTCCCAAACATTGATTAGACACTTGGGGAGACAATATAACAAAATTTCAAACATCAATGGGGTATTTCTAGCTGCAAAGGATTTCAGGACTGAGCCATTCATAGCATTTCTCTACCACTAGAAAAAAAAACACTCATCTAAGGAATCTTGGGGTTCCACACAGGCACATTGCCCAGTATGGCAACATTTGCCCTTTACAGGGGAGCGTCTCCTTTAACTCAGCTTCTGCAGAGTTTCTTTGATCCAGGGGATGAATTTGGAGATTCTTGTGTATATACTGGGGGGTCGCCCACGTGGATTTCCATTGGAGACGATGCCCTGGACCACCCCGTTGCACACCAGAGGCCCGCCGGAATCGCCCTGCCAATAAGGAGAACAACATCAGTGACTGACATTACCCAGCCCAGCCTGTCCTGCGGAGATCTCAGATTGCGTGTGGGGCAGGTGTTCTCTGCAGCTGAAGGCCCAGCTCTTTCCACCACACAGAACAGTCCCTCTAAATGGGTGGGCAGAGAGAAATCTAGAGCTGGGCAGAATGATGTAACTATGGAAAAGGCAGTTCCTACAATATTGAAATTACTTTCACCCCTGCATGGAAAGAAACATTTCAATCTGTTCACATCTCAGCATGTTTCATTTTCATTTAAAATGTTGGAATGAAACATTTTGACATTTCTGAGTTAAACCTGCTTTTGGAATTTCTGTTCTGCCAAAAATGTTGAAATCTCAACTTTTCTTCAAAAACAAAGATTGAAATGTTGCTATTTCCTGTGAGATGGGAACACTGATTCTCCCTCAGCACCAGTGCCATCCTGGCCCTCTGGACTTCAATGGCAAAGCTCCCATCCACGTCTATGGGGCTAGGATTTCACCCAGGGTCCTGTCTGTTGGGTAGCCTCAGGGTTGAGTTCACCAATAAACCCTCCAGTGAAGGTGAAGAGTAGAGACGGTCATAAAATGTGGTGGTGATGGGTAAGGGGTTTCCATTTATTATTAACATTTTCCCTGGAACATTTTTAAAAAAATCAAAGCCCCAAAATGTCTAGTCATGGTGCATCATTGGAGTTGTATTTCAGGGGCCTCATGCCATTATGGGAACACAGGACTGGAAGGGCCATACTGGGTCATGGAGTCCAGTTCCTGCTATCCCAGGTAGCCCCATTGTATCATCCCATCCATAAACTTATCAAGCTCCATCTGCATCCTTGTTAGGTTATTCCCCTCCCCTCCCTAACTGCTTCCTTTGGAGGTTGTTCCAGAACCTCCCACCTCTGATGGTTAGAAACCTTCTCCTCACCTCCAGCCTCCATTTATTCCCATTTGATTTGTCCTTGACTTTAGCTTCAACAGCTCGCCTCCCTCCCTGGTGTCC